GACGAAACGATACGACAATGAAAACGGCAATGTTAAAAAAGAAGGTTGGTTAAATTATTATTAATCAAAAAAAAAAAGTGTATTTATTTATGTTGATCTATGTAACAAGAAAGGTTCCGATCAAGATCAGAGATCGATTAATCACAGGACCCGGAAAATCTCACCTACACCCTGGATCTGTCGGCAGTGCTCTTGTATAAAAAATCTTGGTAGAGTATGAATGGGGTGACCCAACTTCATCGATGAAGCTATTAGATTGTTATTTCAATGAAGAACACAGGGGAAACAACAAGAAGCTTTGCTTTTTCAACACACTCGTTTAAAAAATTTTGAAAGTACTTGCAACTCTCTCCTCTCATTTCCGCTTTCCTTTGGTTTTCCAAAATTTTTTTCAAAAAGTGGGGATTTGGCTTACCCCTCCAAAAGATCAACATTGTTTATATTCCAAATCTGAAAAGCCGAGTAGATTACAATCACGTGTTCGACAAATACGGTGCTACTAATTTGAACAGGTCCCGAGTTCTAGGTCGGAACTAAATATTCCGGAGTCGGTTGTATAGTCAGAAAGAAACAATAATATTAAGGCAAAGCTTTATAGTAGAGATATACAAATGTTGTATTTGTTATATAATTTTTATACTCACCTGGCACAGGTTATAATAGTGCATTTTCTTTTTCGTTTTTGTGCTATTTCTTGATAGAGATAGCTACTATTTTTTACAGGAGATAGCTTTTCTTGTTTAGCCTGTTAGGGCTTATCTTTTTGTTTTTTGTTTTTTGTTTTTTTTTATATTTTCTGTTTCCCCCATTTTTATTCCTTATTTTTTTCCCTTTCTTGTTTTTGTATCTTTTTTGTACGTAAGCTTTTTTTCTTCTTGATATACGTTCTAGTATTGAGAATACAAAACATTATTTTCTTTTGCTCTCGGTGAAGAAAGTAAGAATGAAGGGATAGGCTTTTGGCGGGCTGACAAGGTCTTCTAACTTAAAAATTTTTTCCAGACTGTCTAAGGTAGCTAGAACACTGATGGCATCTTTTTATTATAATTGATTAATAAATAAATAACTTTCTATTTACAAATTAAGTATTTACAAATTTTCTATTTATTCGATTACCAGAGGAGTTAAGACTCAATGCCTTAATTTTCCTTGTAATCCTACTACTTATAATTGCTGGAATTGACATTATTGGCCTGGTGTCATCACCCCATTTGGTGTTGGTATACCAACACCAAATCTCATAGATTGCCATTGCATTCAGCCATTGTGCTGTTATATAGTATCTTTTTTGAAGAAAGTTGTTCTTTGTGTAGATGTCCTCTATAGCAGTGTTGTACATGGGACAATTTTGGACATTTTTTCAAATTGAAATTACTCAATTTTATTAAGATAGTCTATTTTAATTTTTTTACCAATGAGTCCAGCACCTAAAAAAATATATAATTATATATTTTTTTTAATTACTTTATTGATTAGTTAAACATGGGACATAGGCTTGGATGATTTTAGACAATCTTGGACGTTGGACATTTTACATAGTGTGGACATGTCCTATGTACAACACTGCTCTATAGTGTTCGGTATCAATAAGTTGTCTTGTACCTTTAAGAATTTGTAGGCTTCTGTCCAGATAGATTTACTAACTTTACATTCTACTGCAAAATGTTCTGGAGTCTGAGTACTGTCTTCACACCATGGGGAAGCACCTGATTCTGAAAGAGATATCTATTGGAGCCTATAATCCAAAGGTAGAGCCCTGTGGGCTAATCTCTATAAAATATCTCTCTTTTTGTTATTAATACCTCCACATGTAATCCAATCGGTTGGTGTATTTTCTCTGGGTATATAAGTTGGAGAGATTATCCCAGCTAAACTTCTCAGAAAGTTTATTAAGTCTTTAGTTTGAAGATCACTACTTCTTTTTCCTTTCAAATATATATTCTCTGTAGATCAAGGCCACGGTGTAAGGGAGGAAACTGCACCCTCCACTTTACTCCATGCATGTATGAAAGGTTTCCATTTTGATGGCCAGGCTTTGATTCTTATAGGATTTTCTGCAAAGGCTTGCAAAATTGTGATGTCTTTTTTATTCTGTAAAGATTTTGTAATCCTTGATCTTTTTATCTTGGCCCACATGATATCTCTTGATATAAGCTTTATCCAAGTTGTGAGCATTCTAGCCTCGAGCATGTTCCCTACTATCGGAGCCTGAAGGCTGCCTTTTTTGTAGAAAAGCTGATAGGTTGAGTATCTTGGAAGCATCTTGGAATTGCCCTTGGTCCATAAAGCTATTAGGTTATTTATTTCTGATACTTGTTTTTTGCTGAGAGGTAGAATATAGGCTGTGAGAAAGTATTAGTGATTTCGCGATTAGGATCCTTCTCTTGAAAGAAAGATTTCTTGCCACAAGTTTGGAGAGTATATCTTTGAGTTTGGTAATAGTGGATAGCTATAAGTCCTTCTTTGGCTGCCTATTTGCATCTATTTCATATCTTAGTAACTTAAAGGTATCAGATTCTCTTATAACTTTAAAATCGATTACATCTGGGAGGTTTGTTCTTCTTGCCATTATTGTTAGTAGAACAATTTGTGTTTTCTGGTTGTTAATTCTTGCGCTTGAGGCTCTTTCATATAGGTCAAAAGTTTATGTATCTCCAGCTAGTCTGATGTGCTTCCAACTCCTATTGTAAGGTCATCTGTATAGGCTATAGATTTGTAGAAGAGTATACCTTGAATGTCCTTATCAATAGCCTGGAGTAAGAGCTCGAAGGCCAGGATGTATAGTAAAGGTGAGAGGGGGTCCCCTTGTCTAACCCCTCTTCCAACTCTAAACAGCTCTGATAGCATGCCTGATTCGAATATATGAGCTTCTTGATTGGCGAACAGGTTTCCCACCAGATTTCTAAATTTCAAATTAAAGTTCATCTTTTCAAGGACTAGTTGCAGGAAGGTATGATCCACATGGTCAAAAGCTTTTTGCTAGTCTACTAAGAGCAGCCAATGTTGCTTAGTAAGATCGGTTTGATTCTTCATTACTAGGGGTCGTACCCTAAGATATGTTATCTGGTTAACTGTTAGGTTATCTAGATAACCAGATTATAAATTGACTAACAGGTTACACAATTAGGATATCCAGTTAACTTAAGAGATAATATAGGGTAATATAGGGTAAAATAGTAATATGTGGTTTGTATTCTAATTTGATACGTACACGATATATAACAATAAGTTACCAAATTAAGTTTTTGATGAAATGCCATAAATGTTTATAGTGTTACAGAGTAGTAGCCTTCTTAATTTACTCTATAACGACGACACGGCACAGGGAATTCTTTCGTAGGTATATGCGGTGTCCAAGAGGTA